CCAAAGCAACTATACGTCTTATTTTCACTTAAATACTTCGGATTGTTTCCCAGTATTCAGTACATGCTTAGTATCATAAAGAAAATTCCATCCTCAAGTTCCCAACAGACTTCCCCGGTTCGCCTCCACATCGCTTGGGTTGCCGCTGCTATTTTACCTCAAACCGGCTAAGCCCTTCAGCCACTATTTACTCCAGCATACTATCTCTGATCCTCTCTTAATTCTTCTCATGGCAAACTTCATCCGACATCGACCCCTCCTGACAGGAGCGCTCACCATAGTAACCATCAGCAGCGCGGTCGCTTATGTTACCAAGCGACGACTCAACCAGTCATGCCCGACGATTGCAATCACAGAACTCACAAAGGCAAGCGCATGTCGCAACCTAATTGAGATACCATCTGAAGAAGCCACGCCGACACCATTGGGCGTTACAAAAACAACTCTGCTATCATCATGGTCAGGCGGCGATAAGACCTACTGGGTCCCATCCTTTGTAGCAGTCCAAGCAGAGGTGCCTATATCGCAACTTTCGCAATATGGGCTGTTCAGTGATGATGCAAAGGATGACAAGAAGCAAGACATGCATAGTCTATCGAGAAATCTCGTTGCTGCATTTGTAGATGCACGCGCGACAGGTTTAGAAACATCGGTCTTGGACAGAGAAGTGCCGCCGTTATCCTTTGCCACTTCTTCTCGTTTATTTGGACGCCCAAGCGAGATGGGAGCGTTCATGCTTGGGACCTGGGATTCGGAGCATGGGATGAATGTTCGCCCATCGGACTTGCCTTCTGATGCTCCGAAGCCGGTCACGGAATTTTGTTCTAATGAAGAAGCTGTCAAGTATGGAGGTGCTAAGGATACAGCTGGTGCTGTGATGTACTGGATGTTTCCAAAAGCATTGGTCGAAGGAGTTGACAAGGCTGCATCATATGGCCTGCCGTGGCGATCGATGGAGGGTGGATTTCAGGAGTTCATTGTTGAAAGGGTATCGGATGACAAGGCGAGGATAACATATGTCACTGTTGAATGCACTAATTTGCATCCTCTTGGCCAGACAGAGCGGGACTTCAAGATGTTGCCCTGGCTGCTTTATGAGGCGCATGTTCTTTATGCACAAATACTGTGGTCGAAGACTTTGAGGCAGTTACAGCGATCCCAGACGACTGTAATATAGATGTGTTCAATTAATTAATGATACCACTCCGCTTATTACTAGTCCTCTCCACTTGACATTCTTGTCAGTACATACCAGACTAACTTCAGGTTTTGTTGTATCTGAGCAATTCTCATTTTGAATTCCGCTCATCGTCTCTTATTCTTGGGCGCAAAAGATTTCTTTTTCAACCCGCCCCAGATTTCCCCACGCAAATTCAGTCCCTTTTCTTCAACCACCTTTGCGAAATCCTTGTCCTTCTCCATCTGTTTAAGATCGATACCCAGCGCACTTGCTATGAGTGGAGCAAGATCGTGTGCCGCACAGACTCGGAAGTCGCCACTCTGAACACGCTTCTTCTTCCGTCTTTCCAGTCGCTCATTTAAGCCTTCCTCTAGCGTTTCTGAGAATGTCTTTCCGCTGGTGTCTGTAACAATGTTCTTTATCTTCTCGGCTTCTTCTGGGGAGAAATATGGTTTGTCGATGTAAGACGGGTCTGTGACTTTATCCAGACGCTTCTTGGACGAGGCGTTATTGAAGTTCTTCAGGTCGAAAACGAGGACGTGGACTCGGTACCAAAAAGTGGGGGATATGGATGATTCTTTGAGGTCTGAAAGGGTGACTAGTGGTGTTGGTGGTGAGCTCGGTCTGGCTTGAATGTCCGTCATCTCGAATGTTCTGGTGGAGTCGCCATGGTGGAAATTCGGACAGTAAGTTCGCTTTCAGGGGTAATAGACTGCAGTACTTACTATATGAAGGTATGGAAGTTCTTTCGGAAATGTAAGGTGGTAGTAACATGACTCTGCTTCTGTCACATTTACGTCGTTCTTTGGTGGCGTTATGTCACTACTACGAGATATTTTTATTTTCCACAATGAGGCAGATTTCGAAGGCAATCCGCCCAGCGCATTGCTGAAGTTTGGCAATATACTATCTTTGCTAGTTTACTGTCACTTTCATTTCAGATACAGAAGACAAGACAGCTTTTTTCAGGCTCAACCTAGTATGCTATAAACCATTTGGTGATAGATAAGGTTGATTTTGTGGCATAAGCAAGTTCATCTAATGAGTACAGCGAACATATGTAATCTACTAGTGCCAGCTCAACGCAATGCCATTTGTCAAGTGGCTATCAGTAGGCTTACTTAAAATTTTATCATCTCCCAGCTCTACTAGCCGTGTATCTAGATTACTATATTAATGAACTGGCGGTCCTCCAAATCAGGTCACTATGACCGAATTCTCGGAGATAATGACCAGTAGAGGCCTGGTTATTGTTTCCACCGACGCTTGGGAGTTGCTTTCAACTGAGGCAGTGACTTACAAATCCTATTCTCGGTCGGATACGAAATCTTAATCCTCGGTCCCGTAGGCACCTATGGGTCTACAATACTATTGCAAAATCAGACCACGCAAGCAGTGGAGACGACGCATCAACTTAGTGATGTTCAAGAACGTCTCGTACCTGCATCTCCTCCGGCTTCTGACCTTCCTAAACGCCTAGCGCCCAATTAAGGGATCCTTCCACACCCCACTACCATCATATCATGCTCATCCGGCTATCAATCAAGGAGTGGAACGCTGAAAATTGCGGAGGCTAAGCTTGTTTGAGCTTGGCTGTGCTTGGCTTTGATTCCGCATCCTCTTGGCGTTACTTGGCAGGGCGGAGATAGTTTCCTTTCTTCTGTCTCCTGGCCGACCTGGCTACTATAAAGCTACAGGCCATCATGGTTGGAATCACAGAATTCAGGCAGAGTCTTCAAATTATTTTCTATCTCAACTTGAGACCACAATGCCCGCCGCCCTCTTCCTCGGCCTCCTAGGCCTCACAGCCCCCCTGGCTGCCGCAACCACGAGTACCCCAGGCCTCGAGCTCGCGTACTCCCTTGAGCGCGCCACCCAAGGCATCAGCATCTCCTCTGATGGCCGTAAATTTCTCTCTCAGCGGTACTCGACCACTCTGCCCCCTCAAATAGTCGAGCTTTTGGACGACAACTCCACGTTCCTTTACCCAAACACGGCCTGGAACTCCTATAACTCGAGTGATCCTACCTCCGACCCACGCAAGACCTTCGTCAGCATTGACGGCGCCCGTATAGGCCCCGACGGTCGCTACTGGATTGTCGATGGCGGATCTACCGGTGTCAACGGCTCCACCAAGCTCGTGGGAGTGAACCTCACCACCGACGCCGTGGACAAGCTCTACTACCTCGACGCCATGAAAGCATCCGACAGCGGCATTGACGACGTCCGCTTCAACGCCGCTGGTGATGTGGCCTACATGAGTGACACTGCCGGTGCTCTACTCGTCATGAACATGACTACCGGCACGGGTGTGCGTGTTCTGTCTACCGACTCTTCCGCCCAACCCTGGTTCCCTATGATGTACAATGGCACTTTGGTCCCCGGCTACGGCGCCGCAGGCAGCACCCTCTCCGTTGGACTCGATCAAATCGAAGTTTCCCCTGACGGTGTGTATCTGTACTACCAGCCCTGTAATGGAGGCTTGTATCGCATCAAGACGGTGTACGTTGATGCGTCTCTCAAGAATGCGACTCTCGCATCGACTTTGGGAGACTATGCAGAGCCTTTTGCCCTGACGCCCAGCACTGGTGGTAGTACTATCGATGGGGATGGAAACATCTATGTTAGTGATACCAACTTGCTGGCTATCTGGAAGGTCACGCCTGAGGGACGCGCGACTGTACTTATTCAGGATGAGAAGCTGCTTTGGACAGATCTTATGTGGGTTACCGCTGATAAGAAGCTTTGGCTGCCTGCTTCGCAGATGAGGCCTGGTGGTGATGGATTGATGGCTGATGGGCCGAACTATATTTTCACTTATCCGATTGACGCGGGGCCGTCGCCTATTGATCATGCTTAGCGGAGGTTCTTTTGGTCTGTGATTATTGGGGTGATGATGGTGTCTAGTAATGCGCTGAGAGATAGGTTGTTGAGTGTATACTATATGGTTCTTCATGGACGAAAGAGCCTGTAGACCCTTTGAATTGGCAGAAGTAGTATAGTCAGTAAGGGAAGAGTTCAATCGGGACGGCTTTTCGGCTAGTACGCGCGACCAACATTATCTAGACGTTAACAGGAGGGTCAGCTCAGCCTTGCAGGCGGCTGCCGGGCGCCCAGCTATCAGGGATATCCCAGCTTCCCCGTCCAATGAAAGCCTTCCACATCCCGTCTAGTGCAGCCTTGCAGATGGACTGAACAGAAACAGCTCTCTAGCGCTTACAGCCTACAATCACCCTCTCGGAGGTCTCACGCCAATAGAATAATACACGGCTGCTGGGGGCCGCACTCATCCCGAGCAGCACCTTCCTTACAACGGGAGAGTAGTGGCTACGGCTGAAGGACTTCTCTATGGCGCCCAATTCTTACCAGTACCCAGCTCGATTCCAATCTCACTCAGTATCTTCTTCTACTTCTGCTTAATTGCTTTCCCCGTGATTCCCTGCTTTTCCATTAACTGCCTAGACTTGAACGTGGTCACGCATCGAGGTTGCGCCCAGCAATGGCGAAGGTCCAGGCTCCACGTCAGGGAGGTCTCGATGAATTTCAACGTCAAACACTCCGACATTATCTCCTCACATCAGTAGATGCCGACCCTCGATCCCTAGTTTGACTTGGTCTAGTTAAATAGTGGTGACAAGGTAGTGATCAGGCTGCAAAGTTAACTGAGCGGGGCAGCACAGCCTTCGCGCGGCTGATTATTTCCTCTTCCGTGCAGGAATATCCCTTTCCTTCAACGATCGCTCAGTCCGAAGATTCTCTTCCGCAATAACATAGTTCCTATATTCCAGCAGCATTTACCGTGCTCAGATAGCCCAAATCAATGGAGGCTGTTGGATCCGCATCAGCAATCATTGGGATTGCAACAACCGGAATTCAATGCTCCATCAAGCTACTTACGTTTGCGGACCAAATCAAGTCCGCCCCGGATGAGATCAGAAATATTGCCGAGGATATCTCAGTCAATGCTAGTATTTTGCAGCAGTTGGGTGGACTAGCTGACAAGGAGCTATTTCAGACACAAGCAGCAACCGATACCAACACCAACAACAGCATCAGCAATGGAAAAGCACGGACGGTCAATCCTGAGGCCATTGATTATAGCGATACGGAAGGCCATGAGCCACAGAACGGAATATTTAACGCAGCCGGCTTTGCGATCGTCATGAATCTCGCTTCAAAATGTAACGCTATCTTCGAAAGGCTCGAAGAAGGACTAAGGAAGGCGAGTAAGCAGCTGAGGGCAAATCCTCAAAGCAAAGATCCCATCAGACTCAGTCCAGCTGAAATGGTGAAATGGCCATTCGTCAAGCCCCAAATGGATTCCATGAGGGCAGAGCTACGCGATGCAAAGGGGACTTTGATGCTCCTGCTTCAAGTTGCGATGCTACGCTACTCGAAGAAGGTTATGGAGGGGTAAGTCTGGCTTAGTACTTATGCTAAATTTGTCTCATGTCTGATGACCGGAGTAGGCATACCACGAGAACAAGTCTGATCGCATATTCCGAAGAAGATCAGTATCTGCTGAAAAGATCGATCGTAGCTGCGGAGAGAGCGCGAGTTGATATCGCGAAACAACGAGATGATACTTTGGCTGGAAATCGAACCGCTAGTGTGGCGGAGAGGGACACCGTCGATGAGAATTTACAACCTGCGGAGATGACCACTACCGCGGCAATTTCCCTTCAATTGCGACGACCTCCCAGTCTAGAAAATGGCGCTAGTCGGGGTATTCCACAGTTCGTTTATCCTTATCTATATCGAGAGCTATTCCACCAGATATACCTAACTCTATGGATAGAATTTCGTCCATTGAAGTCAAGAATTTGGACTGCCAGCCTCATAGAGATATTGATTTCTGCTCTGCACATACCAAGCCAAGTGATGCAGGCAAAGCACTAGCTGCAGATGGCGATATCTGGAATCCAAGCAGAACTTATCCGGTCCACGAGGGATCTGGGTGTGACCTTGACTCTCTCTACTACTCTTCTGTATACAACAACAGATCATCTATCGCATCTATCAGCTCGGCCACGGATGCGCTACTCGGTGTATACCTATTAACACCTAAGCTTCAGATAGCACATGGGAAGCACCACGTGGAGTACCGAGTCCGGCGTGTGGAGGTCCCACGCCAGGATATTGACTCCCAGATAGATCAGTGGAAAAAGTCATCAAATAGTACAGTACTCAATCAGCTCCTTGCTCTATCGGCCGATGAACAACAGGCACTAGATGCTCTCAACCTGGATGGTGATCATGACAACTTCACGGGCACCGACGCAATCGAATGGATACAAGTCGGCGAGTTCTTACCTGTTGACGGATTCGATGATATCCGAACAAGAAGTATCACATTCATCGTGAAGCTCAAGCACCCATCTACAACATCTAAGCGAAGAGAACTGAAGTCTGAGGACTTGAGAGATCAGCAGGATATTGCTATGGACTTCAGTGTAACTTACTCCAAATCTCGATATGGCCTCATTTCCAGGATAACGCTGACTTGACGTCGTAGGTAAATCGTCACAGTATTTTCCCCGAGAGTCTTAACGCATTTGGATTACCCTGGAAGTGGAATGTGGTATGTATCAATTTTATGAACTCCCAAAATTCAGTAATAGAAATTCTAATTATAAAATAGAGTGATTACAACTATATGCTTGTCAATAAAGCTATGTTCAACCATTTTGAAGGGGAATTATTGGCACACACGCGAAGACTCGTGAATGAGAGGTCTAAAATGCAGCGTGACAGCAATCGAACCGAGCTTGAGGTTAACGGCCAAAAGAAATCCAGACGACCTGGGCTTTTGCTCCATATCAGAAGAGTGTTGAGAACTATTGATCCCAGACATAAGATAAACGCTCCTAATCCTTCGTCTAATCGTATTCTGGGGACAGCAGTTGCAGGAGCAGCAGTGGGTGAAGGAATGGCAGCGGGAGGGTCAATCGCAGTGGCTGGAGGGCTTGGAGGGCCTGCACTGCATGGACGGCGTGGAAGGAGGTATTATGGATATGGAGGGTGGGTTAAAGAAAATGTCGAGCGCACTTCACAGATTCAAGGTTCGGAAGAGAAAAACCCCCCTTACCCTCCTGAGCCCGTTTTTTCCCAATCTTCTTCCGTGCCCCAGGCCCTAGAGTGTCGGTGGCACTCTTGCCAATCGAGACCTCTCGCAGATCTTGTTGAAGCTTTGCCTCGAGCCAGCCGCGCTCCTTCCGATTCTTTGGCTGTCGTTGAGTCCCTTCCTCCTTTGCCCTCAACCACTATACATGCAGTGAAGCCAAATGAAGAGGAGGAAGATATGGAAGGGATAGTGGGCGAGCTTTTAGATAGATATACGGCTGTGTGATAGTCTTTGAAGATCTCTAATATGATAACCTTTCCCCCTTTTAATGCAAGTTAGTGAGGCCCACAGGCACACTTCCTAGTATTGAGAGAATGAAATCAAATTCCAGTGAGAGAAATAAAATGAATGAAATCATGTTTCATGAGGAATAGTCGATGATCTCAGAGAAGCAATCGCCCCTGCTCGGGATAAGAAACCAACATCCGATCCCGAATAGGAAGGCCCGGGGTTTCCGATCACAAGGCAAAACAGCATGTCTATCACAGAACTTACATTCTAATAGTTTGAAATAACCTGGTTGCCTGCACAATGACATGGTTTTCGTAATTGAGATGAACTTGTCTATGACGATAAAGTGGAGTATTTATATGCTGGCAGTGTGGGGGTTTGTGGAATCCATCCAAACAAGGCTTGAGGGAATTTCTACTCGATGGCAAGGTAGCCAACGAGGGACTCCATGCCTCAATTACGCAGTAATATAGACTTATCTTTGTCGTAAGTTAGCCATTTAAGCCTGGCAGAATACAAACAGACACAGACAAGGCTCTCAGAAACGTAAATGAATAGAGCGACGAACACCTCCCGCGCATCCATACTGTTCAAGTAGCAAACCCGCACATCCTGACCCACTGGTTCATACTATAGAACTTAGAAGGTATATGTTCCTGATCCTTCCCGAACACCGCAGATCGACTCGGCCCTTGGAAGGATGGCGTAGCGTAGCATAGCTGGCTTAGTTGATCCTCCGGGCCGACCGTCGCCGGCGATAGGTCATTTTCGGCTCGACGGAAGGAATGTCATTGCTGCTGCAGGCCCAGCCAACGAACTCCGTCGTCATAAATCATAGGGCTTGCTTACCATCCACCAAGCACTAGATAGAGGTAATCGATCCTACGTCGCTTTGGCTGCTGAGATGACGTGGGTGAGTGTATATGTGGCAGTCTTATGCATTCGCAGTCTGACCCGACAATCCGAGTGGTTGTTCAGGTAAACAGTGTGTTCATAGAACATTGGAGGTATCAGGTACAACGAGGTAAGACAAAAGACGTCAGTGTTCGTGTTAGTATTCGCCGGATTTGAGTTTGGAGATGATCGGCAGGGCTAATGACAATAGCTTATAATTGGATGATAGACAATGGCATTCATATCAATAGATTTCACTGTTGCCGCAGGGCATCCCTGTGAGGGTAACACTGCATCTGCACTTTGGTTTTGAATCACCAGAGTCGGATGAAACGGCACGAGCGCAGACCAATCCCTTGCCTGTTGGTTATACCGACTGCAGCGACCGTTGACGCGGCGTTGTGCACAGGCCAATTAGCATAATCTGCGACATGTGACAAGGTTTATACACGTATTTCATTGCACCCTTACTCTTATCCCAGACTTCCATCTGGCCCCAGATCATAGCCGGTCAGTGGAGCGGCTGGATAATTATGCAAAACCCAAATGTCCTGGCACAATGGTATAACGCTAATACTTATCCTGCTATTCGCTATGAGAAGGTCGGCGATCGACATGACCCCTCTTTTGAAGTTTGATGCGGCACAGCAGAACTCCACTTTGCTGTTTCCCCGCTCGGTTGGTATAGCTCGAATCACGCTTGCGAAACTAGAACACACATCGAGACCTCCAAGATAACACGTTGTAACTATCCCTCATCGGAACATCGGAGCTCTAGAGCCGAGCATCACTTGCATCGGAGTGGTGTATGGGGGATGGGCCGAGGCCTTTCCTGGCAATCGCTTCATGCAGCTTAGCTGGTCGCTAGCGGGTCGTGTGCCGGCTTTAGAAAGCATTGGCTGGGCTTGTGCAGCTTTGTCTCGACATAATCAGGCCGGCTGTTGCAGAGTCAGGCGACTCATTTATTGGAGTGAAGGAGATAAATAGCATCCCTAGTTCCGTCACGGCGGTGTGCATTCGATACAAACCAGCGCTTTTTCTCAGACCGTTTGATTGTCTGTTATTGTTGTGTCTCCAAACCTCAGCATGATTCACGAAAGTATTCAAGGGGCCCTCCAGGGGCATTATCTAACAGTAACCGCTGGTATAGTCAGTGCAACGCATCCAGACGTAAGGGGTTGACGGTTGCTAACACGTGCCTTGGGTTACCACAGTTAGTTCTCTCCTTGGTAGGAAAATGTTTTTACGAGTTGTACATCAACCCTCTGCATAAGATCGCCGGTCCGAAGCTGGCGGCGATTACCCGTCTGGTGCATATGTATCACTCCCTTATGGGCGATGAGCATGTTTGGGTGAGAAACCTGCATCTGGCTTTCGGAGACACCGTCCGGATCTCGCCCGATCAAGTCAGCTACTCGTGCGCCGACGGATGGAGAGATATCTACGGCCATGCCAGTGCAACAAAGAAATCCACTGAAAAGGACATGCGATTCTTCGGCACCACACTTAATAGAACCCCGGACGTCATTCGTGCCAAAGCTGCCGATCATTCACGCTTTCGTCGAAATTTTTCACATGCTTTCTCGGACAAGGCTTTGCGCGAGCAGCAGCCACTCATCGCTCATTATGCGGACTTGCTCATCGAGAAGCTCCGAGAAGTTGTCCAAGCAGATCCTAAGGCCAAGGTCGAAATGGTTTTGATGTACAATCTGACCACATTCGACATTATGGGTGACTTGACATTCGGAGACCCACTGAATCTGCTGAAAGGTACCGGCAACGTGGGGTGGGTGACATCGATCTTCTCCAGTGTGAAGATCAATTCACTCCGACGTGTCGCAAGATACTATCCATGGTGTTCTTATTTTTTAAACTCTCTTCTCCCTCGGTCCTTGAAAGAACGACAAGCGTCTCATTACCAGTCATGCAAGGACAGGGTAGACTGGCGGGTTGACCAGAGCCTGGATCGCCCCGACATTTGGGGCCTGGTTATGTCGCAGAAAGAGTCCCTGCGCTTGAGCCGTGAAGAAATGTACGCCAACTCACAACTGTTCATGGTAGCTGGCACGGAAACCACCGCAACGGCGTTGAGCGGCCTCACGTATCAGTTGTTGCTGAATCCGGACAAGATGAAGAAAATCACCAAGGAGATTCGAGACGCCTTTGAGCGAGATTCGGACATCGATATGCTGCGGTTAGCACAGTTGAAGTACCTGAACATGTGTATCGACGAGGGCCTTCGGATGTATCCCCCTGTCCCTACCGGGATGCCCCGTCTCACTCCGAAGGAGGGTATGGAGATCTGCGGCGAATATATGCCTGGCAATGTGAGCAGCGCTACTCAGCTTACCTATTTTTTTTTCCCCTTTTGGCAATTATGGCCTTGGACTAATGTGTACATTCAGACAGCTGTCTCGGTACACCACTGGGCGACATATCGCAACCCACGAAACTTCACCCGGCCGGACGAATTTCTTCCGGAGCGATGGGGTAACGACCCGCAGTTTGCTGGCGACGACAAGGCTGCTTTCCAGCCCTTCTCTTTCGGCCCTCGCAATTGTCTGGGAAAGAAGTGAGTTTCCCCTAGCCATGGTGTCAATGCTCTAGTGAGCATGTCTAACATCTGAACTAGTCTCGCCTATCATGAGATGCGACTCATCCTAGCCAAGGTCCTATACCACTATGATCTAAACCTGGCATCTGAATCAGTCGGCTGGGACAAGCAGAATACGTGGACACTGTGGCAAAAAAATCGATTGATGGTTCAACTGACCCCCCGGGCTTAGACGGAAGCCATCGATGCACATCTGGATGCACATCTGAGTATCTAGTAAGGATGGGAGAATGTGTACAGGGTTAGCTTAAGACATGAGGTGTCCAGAGCATATGGGCTTGAGCTATGCTGGCGAAAGTTGATAGTGATGTTCTTTTTTGGAGGTCAATGAGGATATGATAATTCTCCCAGTCGTCCTTCTCTACAATCCAATCAACCTCATCCGTTCGGGTCAAAAGGCCCACGGTAAGTGCCGTCGATACAGCGCGCTCCCGGTCCTTGCCCTAATGGACAAATTTAGTATGTAGTTGTATGTAGTCAATGTCTTAACAAAATGTATCCGACAGCAGCGGAAAAACCGGCGTGAAAACCAGAATCAGCGAGGGCACACTGCACGTTGCGGATGGCAACAAGCTTTCCCAAAGTGGAAAAGGCACTGGCGGTAAGCCGATCGCGCATGACGTCATGTGGCATTGTGGCAGCGCTTGGGAGGCGACGTGTCCAGCGCAAACAGATTCCGACCGCCAGGGATTCGCGATGCATCGTGGGGATTCCCCAGCTTGCTCAGGCTGGGTGGAAGATGATTTCATGCTTCATTATGACATGGCGGTTGCTTGGGTATGACGTCTAAACAGGGTTTTGAGCCTGGACGGTTCCCACGGTCGCATAGTCTAGAATTCCCGCTTACTGATCCAGTGTGACGAAGGAATGCTCTAACAAGGCTAATACACGGGATCCTGCGAAATTTGTGTGGTGTCAGCGGATCATACTGATCATTCTTCCTCCAAACAACTCATCCTCCAGCGAGAGAAGCCAGCGTCGCTGTGGATGTTATGCAGCCTCGCTTGACATCGTTCTGATAATGGAGAAGGGTGCAGAGAGGGGGCGACAGTGTGGTGTTCGGTAGTGAATGTTCGGGAGCTCAGTATACTATGTCGTCGATGGCATTTAAGCTTCGTTTCTCATATTTGTATAACACCGTTAACATTTGCAGAAATATTAAACCGAAACTCGAAGCGATAATTTTCCATCAGCCGGTATTTGTTCCGGCTATATTAATGGACCTGGGGTTTCACCAGGCAGTGGGGTTTTGGTCCATTCCTGCCGCATAATGGACGCTGGCTCGGAGCTCGGGGCTTTGCGCCGCAGAAGCTGACAAGATACCTTCATACCGGTTTCGCCCAGACTACCAGCAACCTTACAGCAAAGAGGTAGCTCGAATGATCGAGTAGTTGTGTTGTAGTCAGTCACAACCCGCAGAAGGCTAGTCCATGACTGCCACGTCCGTGCTCTGTAAAAGAAGCCTGAAGGGCAAGAGACCTTCACAACATTGCCGTCGATCCTTAGCAAGGACAGCCTGAATTGCCACCAATTCATGATCCTTATTGCTCCGCTTCACTGCTAGACCATGCGCGGCAGTCATGCGCGGCAGTCTGTCGCAAGTGCAGCTCAACATGACCGAACCTTCCACCGATTTCTCTGGCTCTGCAGTATCGAGAACTCTCCCCGTGGATTCACTCTATTTTTTTTTTTTTTTTTTTTTTTTTTGCCAAGGTAAACCTATTTTGAAGACTTGTGCGTCCGGCTCCACTGCTCTGTTGTGTGGCCGGGGTCAAGGAAAGTGGACCTTATTGGGCAAGGCATTGTCATGCTGATAGGCTTGATGTGCAGCGACAAAGCGTGACAGGATTCCGACGTTTCAGCTAGTATCGGGGAAGAGTTTTCGATGGGAGACGATGACTGGCACGATCTCGACAAGGGCAGGGTCAGTGACAGGATGTCAATATTATGGGAAATGAGGAGGAAGAGGGAGTGATTCATGTCACGCCAGTTGCGGTCGCCTCTTGCCAGGATGGGTAGGATTTCCCTTCTGCGGGTGGATGATTGGCTACAGGCTTGCCTGTCACATCCCGGTGATGTTCGGCAATGTAGGCAGAAATCCAAACATGCCTGGCAACAAGATTGAAGTCCAGAGGAAATACTCGAGCTCACCTGATGTTGATCTAGGCCTCTGATGCTGCCAGATGATAGTATCTCCTGTGATTCCGGACAGTGAAGTGAGGGTCACACCTGCCTAGAACGGTCGGTTCTGCCTCAGCTACATGAGTGGAGGCATGACAGCTGCACTAGACCAGGGTAACACCAGGTCTGGGTGCGCTCGGAGATGCCCACCGATGCAGGAAAGCTGTTGAGGTTAGTGGGCACCAAAGGAATTTTGTCGACAGCAATGAAGCTAGGTGATGCAACCCAGACGACGACGGGCATTTTCCGAGTGGCCTAGTCTGACACCTGGTGAATTGAATCGACAGGGTTGGACCTCCCCCATTTCTCCGAGACGGCGACGTGGACTCAAGAATGTTTTGGCCCGCAATTGGAGCTATTATTCGATAATCGCGGACGCTAGGGTAGGGGCCGCGATGGCTCTCTTCCCTCCTAGCCGATAGGGGATGTGGATTGCAATGAATGGAGGGGAAGTGAGAAGGGGGGAGGGTTAGAAGAGGATGGAGTGAGAAGAAAAAAAAAAAAAAAAATAGAAAAAAGAGGCGATTCAAACCCAGCGGCGGAAGGGGATGATAGTACCAGAGCAAGCAAACATCCATGCAAAACGGGAAGGATGGGCGTGATCATGGTCTCACATGATCGGCTACTTACTGAATCCAGAAGATTGATGGCTGAGGTGTCGGTGGTTGTTCGGTGGTTGCTGCATTTAGCTCGGCTGGGCTGGTTGGTTTTCCTTCCTATCGACCATGGCTTTTCACCCTTCCCACCGCCAAGGATATCTGGCTCTTCCTTGAGACATTTGTGTCCCCTCTGATTGGGCTTCGGAATTGCTCGCGTGGAAAGCAGATTTCGCATCGGTGCCCGAGCTCTGGTGGCGCATCGCTACTGTGTATCTGCTGGCCTAGTCTCCTGTACATACAGGTAACAGACACAGAGGGCTGCTAGTATGGCGCACTTGCTGGCATGAGGGTCCGATCACCACCAATGAGTGCGCCTATACGGGGGGTTACTACTATGTTTAGGCCCATTCTCCGTCACGAAACCTTGCGACCTGAAATGCAGACAACCAATTTTGCCTGCAATGCGGGTGCGGTGACGGTCTATTACCGGCCGGTAAAACCCATGGCGCAAGATTGTGAAAAGACCAAAGGCAAGCCTATTTACTTACCTCGTACCTCTTGCCTATTACGATGACACTAAGGACCCGCTTATCATGGACGCATGCAATGTCGTAGGTCCAAGAGAACTCGTACGGAGCGTAGCGTGTCTCCTCCCCTTCCTTCCCGTCATTCCACCCGAGCGCATGTCTTGTCTCGGTCCCAGCCCGTCCAGTGTGGTTCGAGTGTGATGTTTGCTGGAGGACTTAAGCCTCTGTCACTGGCTGTGGTGGAGATCAGGCTCCTCCCTTCATGTGCGTCCTTCCCAACTGGGTTAATATCAAACTCCCTCTGCGAGGGGGGAGTGACAGCAATTACTGTGATTTCTAGTCGACGATATCAATTAACAAGCGCACGCTGCACGACGATCTGGAACGTCGCGTTGCCACCGAATGACTCGGTCAAACGAGGCGTGTGCGATGCGATGGCGTAGCGCATACCCCCAGCGGCCCTTTTTCATTGGGTGTATCTAATTGGGCATATCTAGGCTGAAAGAAGGCCTGAGGCGAATAGTAGACGGGGGCGAACGGGTTGACGGGGTGAGTGGTTTGAGCGGTGTATTGGGCGACATTGTCTGGAAAACAGTTCCGTGAGGGTCAACCGGTTCCTGTCCGTTGATGTCAAAGTCGAGGCGCAGAAATGAACTCATAGTTACATTTGAGGATCTTCAGATAGGCGACGCTTGCTGCGATCGCAGGCCCGCGGCGCGTCAGGTGATTCGCCCGGAAACCCGCCGGGGAGAGGGGGTGCCGACCAGGTTCCACCGCAGCCCATGCAAGCCTCCATGGCTGGCCGGCAAAGACCGGCTGTTACTTCCCCTTCGACAGTGTCTTGATCATTGGATGAAGCTGACTTTCTGCAGGCGCGATCAGTAGCGTGCCGCTTTTTGCCACTGCCGATGGACAGCCTCCACACCCCTGGGTGATTGACTGGGTCGCAGACTCCATGTGTTCATGGCGGCGAGGGGGAGGGGGGAAGAGGAACAACAAAAAGAGAGTTAAGACCCGACCTGACCGGATCTGACCTCGGGTACTAAGCCCATACGGTATTGAAGTAATCTTAAGGTACATCAGGTACGCATATTGTTTATATTTATTATCTACTAGAGGCAACAAAGTCAAAGTATGTATCTTGGTAATTCTTTGGTATTATTGCGGGCCTAGCTAACCAGGTACACCCGCCCAATTGAACTTGTGTAGTACTCCATAATTTTCCTTCCAGTGGTACTAGACTACCAAAGCTGGGAGTTGCCAGGTACAGGGCTCCCAAAGGTCCCAGCGATGCGGTCTGCTAACCTCGAAAGCGGTAATAGAGATAGGACCCAAACTCCAGTCAGTTCTCCGGACCTTGTTTGTTTCTCAGGCCTCGGATGGGAGACGTTCATTCGCTGCTTCATAATTTGATTCCCATGGCCTATGCAGGTAAGGCCCGGGTCCCATCTGGCGGATTGATGAGGGTATTTGCCATTTGGGTTCTACCGGCTCCGACACTTGGACGGCCGAAGATACTTCGAAATTCCCCAATTGACACTAGCGCCCCCGGTAGTGATTGGGCGGATAGCAGTGCCACCAGCGACAGGCCGGGCCAAGACTGGGGCTGCCCGCAGGCTTGTCCTCTTTGGGACTGGTGGTTCCCGATCCTTTTTTTTCTTTCATACGGAACAAGTTACGGAGTACTTACTACTGATTCTTGCTTACTGACTGCAGACTGAATGACTTTCCCTCTGTAGTAGTCCCCGGCCGGAAGTCTCGACGGGCCCGCGGAATTATGTCGCAGCCTCTGCTGCTTTCCAGAAACATCAATGCCTGTCTTACGGCCTCCCATCCGCACTGCTGACTGGCTGTCGCGTTTTAAGCTTCCTTCCCTCTGGGTCTCTGGGAGTCTGGGTGCTGGACTGTGTATTTCCTTTCTTTTCTTTTTCATCTTTTTTTTTATTTGTCCCTTCTCTTCTCTCTTCTTGTATGCATTTCCCCTTTTGGTCTCATCTGTTGTATACTCGAATTTTTCTGTCCCTTCCCATTTCCATATTGGGTATTTTCTGGGATTTTCGATTTCCTCACACCGTTTTTCGCCCACTTCGTCTCAAATGGTATTTTCCATCAACGCCCAAATTATATGGTTATCTTTTAGTTTTCTTTTAGTGTTTTGAATTTTCAATCTGTGATTTTTTTTGGACCTGTGGTTTCTTTTTATTTTTATCTCTCCACTTGGATGCCGATGCAGCCACAGATCCAGGCCCGGAAAAGCAAATCCCTTGACAATTGGGTCGCCGGCTCCATATATAAAATTCGGCCCTTAAAAAAAGTAGCAACACTCATAAGTTGTTACTAGTACTAGCATTTCTTGCTACATAACCTTTTGAATCACCAACGTCGCCCCTTCTCCTGCCTTCATTCCCAAACCCTGGGGCTTAGTGTCGTTCACTTAGTCTTACCTTTTGGGGGGCATTTTCCACTTTCATTCACCCATCATTCCCACAACACTATTGCCATCTCCTCCCGCCAACCGAACCCCACCCCCATTGAAACTCCCTGTATCCGTTCCCTCGGGTCCTTTCTTCATCTCTTCGCCTCTTCTCTTTTCTCTCTTGCCAGGGCGACTTCCCCTCGTGTGGTCGTCTTGTTGTCCCATCATTGTCATATATGTCCGACACGCAATCCTCCTCCTCCCGCTTTCTAGCTCCCGCTCCTGGCCAGCCCCCAACTGCCAAGGTGGCGGACAATGTAGTTCAGGGTCGCAAGCACAAGACCACTGCCTGCAAGGCGTGTAAACAGAAGAAGCTCAAGGTGGGATTTCTTCATTAAGCCCGTTGTCACTGGTATCTTCATACCATCACATCGCGTCCTGTTCGTCGGCTGACCCCCTCAAGTGCAGAGGTGATCCACCATGTCAACACTGCGTGGCAAACGGCATCCCGTGCCTGGTCGACGAGATGGCCGACATGCGTCGCAAATACGCCATGAAGCGGAAATTGGACCGTCTCGAACAAGCGGAAGAGACGCTGCTACGACTCATTGACGCGCTCCGGGAAAGTGAGAGCAAACGTCTCGCTCAGCTCTTGAATCTCATCCGGAGTAATGCCTCCTTCGAGGAGCTTCAAATCTTCCTGGAGCAACAATTCACCGGGCGCGAACTCGAATTGTCCCCAGAACTGCGCGAGATCCAAAGTCAAATATCTCGCCCCTCCGACGATGATGAGGAGGCGCAACCGCCTTCGCAACCCCGATCCTCCCGCCGCGTTCTGGATGTCCGCCGTCTCGCCGATAATCCCGTCTATCAAGTTCCTGCGAAGCCGTGGACAACGGTCACTGACGACGGTGACCTGGTATCTCACCTCGTTTCGCTGTGGTTGACCTGGACCTATCCGTTCTTCCACTGGCTGGATAAGGATGCTTTTCTACGGGACATGCGGGCCGGCAATCTCGACTGCCGGTTCTGTTCCCGCTTCTTGGTCAATGCAATTCTCTCAGAGGCTTGTGTAGGTGTACCCGATCTTTTGAACATGTACCATTCACCGCAGGACTAACTAACTTGATGCTGATTCTAGTACTACTCTGACTATGCCGAAGTGTTCACCGTTCCCAACGACACGCTCACGCGGGGTGATCATTTCTACGAAGAAGCCCGTCGGCTCTTGGAAGACGAGGAGGGAGGAGCTACAATACCAACTATCCAAGGTCTATTGGTTCTGTTTATCCGGTATGTGCGTAAAGCTGCATGCAATGTGGGACATGCTAATAGTGTTGGGCCTCCAGGATGGTCCTGATGGGCAAAGACCGATTGGGTTGGATGTACCTGGATCTAGCTATCCGGGGGGCGGAGGAGTATGCGGAACGCCATCCTCCCGGGATAGCCGGCCAGGAGGCAGACCCTGCGTTCGAAGAGGTCGTGAATAGGACTCTCTGGGGAGCCTTCGATATTGCTTCGTAAGTGAAAGCCCGTCTGGAGAATAGGAGCATTAACTAACTGGCATTGGTGGCAGGACGGCGACTGTGTCATTGATGAAGCATATCAACGTCAACCCCCCGCAGCGTCCACGCATCCCCGTCACCCACGGCGACCCGCACGATCTATGGTACCCATACCCGCGAGAGGTGGACGCCGTCCGCGGGCATCACAATTGTGTTTTCGATCGATGGTGCGACTTTTGCTGCATCATGATGCAGATCAGCCAGGGATTTCATGACCCTGAGCACCTGGTTGCCCCGTCGCAGATGATCGGGTTTGTTGATGGCATCTACAAACAGCTCCAGGAGTGGTACGCTCATTTGCCACCGTGCTTAAATGCGGATGTGGCGACCGTCCCCCACGTTTTGAGTATCCAGTGAGTGTTTTCGCCTCTCCCCTTCACAGGATGCCTCTTGTGTGCGACGCAGTGTGCTGATTTGCCCCACCGTAGTATGTTTTACCATACCACCGTCATGCAGATCTTTGGGTTTCTCCGATCCAACCGTGAAGTGGCCCTGGATGTGTCCACGGCCGCACATGCACGGCAACTCTGCCTTTCGTCGGCGCGCCGGGTAGCAGCGCTGCTTCGAGTTCATCGCGACAAGTGGGGCATCGACCGGATGGCGCCGTCGACCATTCAGTGGTGCAGCATCGGCATGTTCACCCTCATGGAGGCGCTGGACTCTACAGATAACCGCAACGCCTTCGTTGAGTTGTGCATTATTGCCCGGGCGTTCTCACGGCGCTTCCCTCTCGCCAAAGGTATTCTACGCATGATACAGCTCTCCGCGACGCAGACGGAGGTGGCTCTTCCTGAGGAGACCGGCGCGCTATTTACCGACTTCGAGACGCTGGGCTGGAAGCAGCGCGACGCCGAGGAGTTCAGCAGCTTCTACCCGCATTTTAGCTCGGTAGTGCAGCAAGGGCCGGCGCGCCAGGGGGACGTGGATATGGACCAATTCCTGGCGAAATGGGATGGGTTGAGTCTCTCGCAGACGAACCAGGATTCGGCCGCGTCGGAGTCCGATTCGAAGCGAGGCAGCTCGGCTGACTGAGGATGGCATCGCCCAGCCACCCATATTCGATTTCTCATGTCTTGACAAGTCCGTGACGAAGTAAAGAATCATTACCACTAATTCTAGATCAAAATGTGTTGCATGATTCCCTGCGTACATTTTCCCTTTCTGGATAGCATCATCCCAGTACATCCTTCTCGCCCATATCTCGGGATCCGGTGTCTGCCGGTGTGAAACTTGGCCCCGATGGAATGTTTTGGGAGCGTGGAATAATAGCGATCGACATATGACGTGTCTCCGTTGCCTGGCGCCCGGAAATTTCTTCCGCCTCCATTTCGCACCACGAAATTAGCGGTCGGCATCTTTTTCCGGTGGAGACTCTCTCCTCGACTGTGTACTTTCCGGTTTATGCTGTGCTCCGCAGCTAGCCCTGCCTTGCTTTGTCCGAGATGTTCCACCTAATTCATCCCACGTTGTCCGTGCGTTCACGCAGATTACCGTGGGTCAGTGCGTTTGTCGCAGTGAGCTCCTACGGATGGGGAGAGGCATTGGGGTTCTAGCACCGTGATTATCGACTGTTCACTGTGACGTGTGAAGGAAAAATCCAGGCGTTTGAAGGCATATTAAATGCCAGCCAGGCCTGAAACCGATCACTGGTGGTTTGCTTGTGGTGCTTGATGAATAGCCGAGGGTCAAGCAAAGAACGAACAAGCACCACCATCACACCAGTCCAGCCTACATTAGATTGCTTGGCAATGCATTGTAACTACCCACTCTTACTCTCCGGCATTCCTGAGAAATTAACTCAACCCTGTTGGAGTGGTCTGATGCGCTGTGAGGTGTATTTTTCCACTTCCTTCCCCCTCCAGTGTCCGCCTGAGGATCGATTGCAAGGCGGTCAGAGGCGATTCGCCAATCATACCGAACAGCGTCGACGATCAGGTTGCGGGCCAAATTGCACGATCCGTCGGAGCTGGCCATCTCCACTGCGATGCTGCACCCCTGCCAGGAATTGGTTTCCGTGATGCTTCATCTTCTACGTCATTGTGCCGGTCAAGCGGATACTTCGGGATCTGGTTCAAATCCAGCTTGCATGAGGACTGATACAATTGGTGTCGCGGGGTTTGAAAAGTGTAACCCCCCTGGAGATTGGTGCGCGGGATTATTTCTTTTTTGTTCGGAATGGCCGTTCATGGTCCAGGATTGGGTTGCATCGTTCACTTTGTACGAAGAAGTGCGATCGGTGAATGGGTCGCATTGTTACATCACCGTCCTAGTTTTAGCCTTCGTTCGATGGGTCTGTTAGGGGCTTCGGGGATGAATGACCCTCCTATCCACTATCATCTGATTGTCTCGGGGTTCCCCTGCCTGTTTGAATTCCGAAGCTGGGTCTTATCTGGTCAGATGCCTCCACTCGAGTGCTAGTATGCAGCTGTAGTTCGGAAATATTTTTCGACGGTATATATATATGTCCTGTCCCCTAGTAGATGAACCTTGCTGCCCGCCTATTCTTATTCTCGCTATCCGAGTATATTACACGTATGTAATGCTGTAAGTAGCACTACTACATAATCAATACCAGACATCATGAATAAACAACTGCATTTGTACCCTTTGCATGGGTGTCCATCTTACTGAACTCACCAGTTGTCCAATTGTGGCACAAATGTAGATGGTAGCCAGTATCTACCCGTCAACGAACTTTATTGTTGTGCGCACGGAGCACAGTCCTCCGCCAACATTTCTCTCTCTATTGTGTATGCTACTCTTGCCTCAACGTGAACAAAATGTGCAACAATACTATTCCGCAGCACCATTAATGGTTATAGACCAAGCAAATTATAAGCATCAAAATTATCAACTAAATTGACAATCCTCCATCTTCAACTCCGATACTGTGACCATCACAATCCCCGGCTGCCAGACAGACAAGACAGACAGACAGACAGACAATGGCATTGAACTACCCGAAAGCTTAAAATTAAACCCACGCGGGCCAGACATTCTAATCAACCCACCCACCGTGGGTAGGATCTACGCCTTTCCATCCCGCCATTGAAATTTTCACTCACCACCACTGCATCCCCCATCTGCATATTACACCTCCAGAATCATGATTCAGGTCGAATCGCAGACAATAGCTGCGTCTGCGACTGCACCCGCGGATAAAGATGTCGCCTGGGCCATAGTCAGTGAAGAAGCGGGGGAGATTGACCCCGCCGTGGAGAAGAGGGTGCTGCGCAAAATTGATGCATTTTTTATGCCTGCTATGTTGATTGGTTTGTCATATCTATCTTCTTTGTTTGGATGCTTGGTAGTTGTTTTGTTCAAGATGATTGGTTAGATGGGTAAATTAGCATATTGTTGACTTGTGGGTTATAGGTTATGGGTTTGTTTACTGGGATAAGGTTCGTTTTGAGTATACCTTGACTTGATATGTCTCCGTCAATTAACTAGAGCTATTGTTTGTAGGCCATCCTTGGAAGTGCATCACTGTTCGGTATGACAACCGATCTGCAGCTTCAGGTCATGGATTACTCCACTTCGCCTGCCACCAAGGATACCTCCCGTCTCAGCTGGGCCACCTCCATCTTCTACTTTGGTATGATGGCCGGATTGTACCCTATGACCTTTGTCCTGCAGCGATTTCGCATTCAGCACGTCCTGGGTCCGGTCGTAATGCTGTGGGCCATTACCTGTGCTGCGACGGCGGGAGTAACCTCGTGGCAGGGGCTGTTTGTGCAACGGTTTTTCCTGGGTATTCCTCCTGCTCTACATTGGCATTTCCTAAGTTACTGACTATATAGGCTTCGTTGAGAGTGTCATTCCTACCGGTTTCATGACGGTTGTCAGTGGATATTACACGCAGGACGAGCAGAGTCTGCGACAGGCATGGTGGTTCTCCGGTACGGGATGGTTTACCATCATCGGAAGTGCGCTCAACTATGCGTTTGGACAGATCGATTCTGGGAGTCTCAAATCTTGGCAGTATATCTACATCTTTGCCGGCGTGCTCACCTTCCTATTTGGGATTTGGTGCTGCTTCATGCCTAACTCCCCCGTCGAGGCGTGGTTCCTGACCCATGAGGAGAGGGTCGTGGCCGTGGAGCGCCTGCGTCGGGGACAGACCGGTGTGCGCTGCCAGGTGATCAAGAAAGATCAAATTGTGGAATCATTCCTGGACATCAAATTGTATTTGATCGCTATTATGATGGCTGCAGCGTAAGTAACCCGTCACACATGAGAAGCGTCGCTAATACATCCTAGGTATACCATCAACGGCGCCATTTCCGGATTCGGCCCCCTGATCGTATCAACCTTTGGCTACAACACCCTCGACTCCATCCTGTTCCAGTTCCCTGTGGGTGGCGTCTGCCTCATCTTCATCCCTCTCTGCGGCTACATCGGCATGCGCGTTCCAAACACGCGCATCCCCATGCTCATCGCCTGTTGTCTCCCCGTCATCGCCGGCTGCGTGATGATCTGGAAGTCCGAATGGGGATATCACCCGGCAGTTCCAGTTGCTGGATACGCCATCACCGGCTTCTTCGGACCTGTGGTCAGCCTTATCATCACTCTGGGCGCCAGTAACGTCGCCGGCGCGACGAAAAAAACCGTCATGGCGGCTACCGTGTTCGTCGCCTACACTGTGGGCAACATCATCGGGCCGCAGTTAGTGAACAGCAAGACCGTCGACCAGCACTACCCCGAGCTATGGGAGGGAATGGTGATCTGCTACTGCATCACCATCGCGGCGGCGGTAGCATTGTACGTTGTCTTGTGGCGTGAGAACCGGCGTCGCGACGCCATGGATTTGGACGAGAGCCAGCGTGATAAGCTGGCTTTCCAGGATCTGACGGACAAGCAGAACCCGTTCTTCCGCTACGTGCTGTAGCAGCAGCAGTAAAATCTATGTATATTATCGAACATCATCATTAGATAGACCAGTAGAATATTCCACTCCATCATCCGCTGTAATGATTACTCATATCACCTTCTGTGCGATCTTCGCCTCCCTCTTCTCTACCCGCTGTAACATCCTCTCACTCTGCTGTAACCGCTTTGTGCCTCTTTTCTCAGGCTCCTTGAACAACTTGTCCATCTGGCGTTGCAGTCGCTTCAAGTCCCTCTTCAGGTAATCCTGTACAATTCCTATACTTGGAGTGACCCTCCCAACGGGCCAGAAACCTCTCCGCAGCCCTCTTCCTAACCATCACCTTGCATTGCCCCATTTCACCTCCTCGATTCTCACAAGTATCTTTTTCTTAGCAACCCTGCCTCCCTAATATCCTTCATAGCCCGTCCGTGTCTCCGGACAAGCACCCGAAAATATCTCTGCGAACCACTCCTGAGGACAAGATGGACGCCTGATCACCAGCAAGGATAGACACTTCTAGTAAGTACACGACGCGAGAGCTAATATTGGCCCTGGCATATAATGCCTCCACACTGATTTGTCAATTGATGTGTTGTAAGACAGAAACTTAAAACTTATTGAATTAGCAATTACTATTGTTATCACCACCACCTTCATCACATCTACTCATCCAACACATTATATGTAATCCATACCTTCAGAAAAACGGTTCAAACCGCCCCTGCCATCGCCTCAACATCATCCTTCCCACCCGCCGTCGCAGGCGTCCCTGTCGCCGAAGTACCGGCCATACCTTGCCTCCTCAACCCAGCCAGAGTAATAATCTCTCCCTGAAGGAGATACATATACCAGTAGTACGTTCCTACGAACAGCCCACCCCCGATGATATTACCCAACAAGGTCGGGATAATGCCCTTCCATACATACAACCCCACCGTGATGTCCGGCGCATCCAACCAAATGGCCAGCGGGATGAAGGTCATGTTCGCCACGACATGATCGAAGCCCAGTGATACGAAGGCGAAGATCGGCCACCAGATGCCCATGATCTTTGATGCGAGGTCACGGCCCTGTAGGCCGAAGAAACAGGCCAGACAGACGAGCCAGTTGCAGCCGATGCCTCGGAGGAAGATTTGTTGGAAGTGTGGGGTGACTTGTTTTTTTGTGGCGAAGGAGATGACTTCGCTTTTGTAGGGGTCTGCGGAGAAGACTTCGCCGTCTGTATATTGTTAGGATTGTCGGTTCAGGGAATAAGGGAGAGAGAAGGGAGAGGGAAAGTACAGCCAAAGATAATCGCTACGACAAATAGCGATCCGCAGAGATTTCCCCAGAATGTGATGAACCAGTGAAGCAGCATCTTCCACCAAGGGAGTTGGCGCTGTAAGGCTGCGACCGTTGTGAACTGGTATGTATGATTAGTGCTACATTCTTTGGAATTGGGGAGTAAGGAGAGGGACATACCATGAAAGATCCCGTGCACAAATCCGCCCCTGTCAGGATGATCATGCACAATCCATACGGGAATACCAATGCACTGATTGTGCGAATCAACCCCGGTGCATTCTCCTGGAACCAGGTACTCGTGTTCGTGCTCAGGGCGGTTCCGCATGCCAAGGCAAGTAGACATCCTGCGGAGACGGCGCTGAGGAAGACCTTGTCGAGGCGTGTATTGCCCTTGACGATACCTGCTCGGGCGACGAGGTTGATTACCTCTGTAGGGGTGTATGCGTCTATGCTGATAGACATGGTGAGGGTATATAGTGTGCAGTGGGTGAGTTGAGGTATTCAGACTGACCTACATGGGGAAGTGAAGACCAGACAGCCCTATATACACAACTGCAGCACTGCGTAGGGCGAAAACAAACAGTCAGGACCAATCACGTAGCGTGTATAACTTCTTATCGGATCGGCATCCAATACTCAGATTCAGGCTGGATAGAGTTCAGCCCCAGCATGTCGAGGGTCCCGCTGGGGTTCTTGCCAAGACCGGCCCGGACGAGTCACAGCTTCGCATCTTATCAGCACTGAGTCTGGCATGTCGACATCTCCGCGGTGAACTCGGCTGCTATTCAAGGGATACCTAGCATTTGAAGGCGTAGCGTGGTAATTGGCTAGTTGGTTTGTGTCTAGCATGGATGGACCCGGGATATCCCTGCATCCCCGAACACCTTATCATCTCAATTGCCGGGGAACATCTGTTCATTGATGGAGTGGGGATCTGATGCCTGTGCGTAACTCCATCAATGAGACTATTGTGTTGATCTATCATGGCTATTGTTCTCGTGGTTACTTGTTGGTGGAGGCTTATCGGGGAGAAGCTTCGTTGAGCGGGACTGAAAGCGATGGTGGTGATTTAGAGTTCGATAAGCTGGTTCTCTGGTCTTGGTGACAGGATAGGGCTTCATGTCAGCGTGACAGGATGGCGATCTTCAATGGTTCGGCTAAAGCCGACCAGTTACTTCTGTCATGGTATGGTCTGGATTTAGGATAAGTAGGTGTGACTGTGGGTGCTTATCATAATCAGCGGTGGCAGCTATTACACCATCCAAATTGGTAATTATGATGAAAGTGAGAATCAGAGATATTCTGTAGTTATCTCATCATGGTCTGCAGAGAACCCAGTTGAATCGGAAGACAAATTAATTCCACAATACTGACTTTATCGAAGTTGCATGAACCAATTGCGACTCACATATTGGCAGCCAACATATTAGTTTTTTTCCCCGACTGCACTTGGGTTCACATCTGTTTCACATGCATGCAACTCAAACTCATATTATGGTATCTCTATATGCTGTATATACTCTAAATCTATATATGTCTATGTACTCACTTCTGCTCTGCAGCCTGTGACATCCCCGGCTCCCCATCCGCCGGCACCATAGGCTCATCCTTAACTGGCCTCTCCTTTTCCACCACATCCGACTTGCGCTTCGCATTTTCCTGCAACTTGCGCATATAGCGATCCGACTCCGCTGAATACTTGCAATGCGTTCGAATCACCGCACCATACTTGTAGAACAAAAACGGCGCAGGCATACACAACAGCGACAGAAACGCCGGGATTGACGGCGCCCAATGAATTCCCACACCATCATACATATACGGCGCAATAATGGGAAACACCGCACCAAAGATCGACCGCAACACCGTATTCGCAGCCAACACCGACGCCGCATAGATGGTATACGAATCAATCAGATAATTCATAACCCCAAGGTAAATCAAAATCACCCCAAACCCGAAGGGTGCCGTCGCAATAATGCTCACGATCCAATGAATCGACGGATAATCCGTCCACGCGAACCAGAACTGACTGATCGGGATCGCCAATGCCCCGGGCATACACTGGATGAGTCTCGTCTCCGGCGGTGCAAAACCTCCATGTTTTTCCTGCACCTTGATGTAATGCAGATTGGCGGGAATCGTGCAGGCACACCCCAGTATCATCCCCACCGCAATGCCCAGGAAAGCCAACCCGCCCACACCGGGATTCCACCCGCGCCCATCCTCATACACAATCGGGAACGCAGCGAAGAACATGTACAGCGTCCCATACACGATGGCAATGTACAGCGCGAACAACAGCACAATCGGCTCACGAAACAACAACACCCACGGCCGAGACATCGTCGTCTTCAACAACCTCGGCAAAGAGACCGTCCCCTTATCCAACTCAATCTTACTCCGATAAACCCGCCCCGTCAGCTGCGAGAGCCGATCCGCGCGGAGTCGCAGCAGCCGTGGTGCATACGTCTCAGGGATAGAAACCGCCATGAGCAGCCAGATAAACCCAGCCAACGCAGCTAAGAACCCCTCCACCCAGCGCCATCCGGCGCTCATGCCCAGAAACCCACCGATGATGGGTCCGATCGCAGGGCCAAGGAACGGCGCTGCGGCATACAAACTCAACGCTAAGCCGCGCTGCCGCGCCGTGAACATATCGGAGATGGTACCGCCTGCGTTCGTGAAAGGAGCGGAACCGAACGCGCCGGCGAAGAATCGCAGAATGCACAGCGTCCAGATATTCTGGGCGCCGGCACAGCCCGCTGAGAAAGCGGCCATGCCCATGCAGCTGAAGAAGAAGGGGAGCTGGCGCCCGAAGACTTCACTGAAAGGGGCCCAGAGGAGGGGGCCGACGGCGAAGCCGAGGACGAAAAGTGAAAGACCGATTGTTGCGACTTCATCGCTGACGTTGAAGTAGGCGGTGATTTCGCTGACGCTGCCGCTGTATACTGAGGAGGTGAGGGACACGGTCAACGTGCAGGAGGCTACGATGAGAGTGATGGCGACTTTGCGGCCCAAGCCGAAGAGCATCGGGTTGCGGTTGTCGTTCGGGATCCAGGACACGACGTACGGGTCGTCTTCGGTTCCGTTGCCAGGGAAGTCGTATTCCAGGACTTCTTGGGTGATGGCTGCTTGATCGGTGAGGAGGCGCCAGAAGGGGATTTTGGACCGGTAGACCCCTGGTGGGAGGGGTCCTTTGGTGAGGGTGTCCTCCATGTTGTGGATGTTTTAGTCAAACTTTTCTATTACTTTTCTAGAGTTGGCGGAAACTTTTTTGAACGGAATTTTTCATAGGATATAGGGCCTGGCGCAGCCAGGGGCATTAGAAGGGTATCAACAACGAACGACAGTGCACATGGCAAACCAGTGAGCGAAACAACAGCGATAAGCAGAAGAATGCGACCGACCACTCATTTATCACTAAAATTCTATCGCTTGCGTTGAAACCGGAAACTAAAGAAAAGACACTAAAAAAACGGGGCATTCCGTGTGGCATCACGACCCACTTTGCTGTTGGAACTCCGAGTTGCCACTTATCCAGCAGCACACAAACATGCTCTCAGTGATCGGTAAGTTGGTTTGATTTTTAATCGTCTTGTGGATGCTGCAGAGCAATCTGTAATACGTGTCTCGCATTGGGCTAACACCCATTTTTGCTTGCGTGATAGGCATGTCCAAATCCCGAGGAGTGGTGAGATCGGATATCGGCACGCCTGGGTCTCGGGAGGCTTAGACCCAACCTCGGTTGGAGGTCAGCGCAGACAATTATGCTGGTGCTAATGTAGTGTGTAAGCTCGGTTAAGCACTGGCTTGGCTC